TCTACTCTACTCTACTCTACTCTACTCTACTCTACTCTACTCTACTCTACTCTACTCTACTCTACTCTACTCTATTCCTTATTCTATTCTATTCCATTCCATTCCTTTCCTTTCCTTTGCTGTGTTCTGTTCTGTTCTATTCTATTCTATTCCTTATTATATTCTACTCTACTCTACTCTATTCCTTATTCTATTCTATTCTATTCTATTCTATTCTATTCTATTCCTTTCCTTTCCTTTCCTTTCCTTTCCTTTCCTTTCCTTTCCTTTCCTTTCCTTTCCTTTCCTGTGTTCTATTCTATTCTATTCCTTATTCTATTCTATTCTACTCTACTCTACTCTTTTCTATTCTATTCTATTCTATTCTATTCCCTATAAACTTGAGAGAACTCTAAGACACAATTTTAACTGTAGCTGGTTACACAAGGACTACTCTTTTAGTCGATGTGCCCCTTTAAACTATCACAATTAGACTCACATGGTTTTGTGTGAATGTGTCTTTCTGAGAAAGTTTCTGATTTATTGTATTTTATTTATTGGAACAAGAAATATGGAAGGGCTAATTATAATAGGGCGGGGTTGTTTTCACTATGGTATGAAAACGATGTATTGAAACCTCGTGTGTGTTCTCATCGCTTTGTGTTCATTAGCGTCGACCAAGAAGCTCTTTTCTATAGTGGAAAGCGACCAAATATTGATCGAACCGAATCGTTCTCTGCCATCTCAAAAATACTGGCTTTTCAAGCAGAGCTACACAGCCGAAGAGGCTGCTCTCTGGTGCCTCACACGTAAGAAACTTTAAGTGTATGGGGAAATGGTCATACTATGAATTAATCAAGGTCCTGGATATGCTGTACTCTTTCTGGAATGTTTACCATGTTCTCTAAGCATCTCAATAGGGAATAAAAACCCAAAAGCTAATTTTAAAAAAAGTTGACCCTAAAGTTGACGTGACAGTATTTTAACTGACTGCACCTGTGTATGGTTTGCCAATTGTACAGTGGCAGATAGGAGAAGCACTCCAGAGGGTTAATGCCATTGCCCAGAGGATCATGGATTGCCCCCTCCCCTCTTTGGAAGAGCTTTATAGCTCTCGCTGCCTTAAGAAAGTTCAAAACATCCTTAAAGATCCATCTCTTCCTGGCCAACCTTTTTTTTTTGAACTATTACCATCTGGCAGACGGTACAGGATAATAAAAGCAAGGGCAGATAGGCTGAAAAACGGCTTCTATCCCAGGGCAGTAACCATATTGAATTCTACCTGTATAGTGCAATATTAATGCAATCTCAGGGATTTTCAATTGTATAGAATGTGAAGGATGGGTGTTTGTGTTTTATGATAGTTATAATGTACATTGAGAGGACACGGTGGCTCAGAGGCTAAGATGCTGAGCTTGTCGATGAGAAAGGTCGACAGTTTGGAGGTTTGAATCCCTAGCACCGCATAATGGAGCGAGCTCCCTTTACTTGTCCCAGTTTCTGCCAACCTAGTAGTTTGAAAGCACGTAAAAAATGCAAGTAGAAAAATAGGGACCACCCTTGGTGGGAAGGTAACAGTGTTCCTTGCGCCTTCGGTGTTTATTCATGCCAGCCATGGCCACAGAGACATCTTCAGACAGCACTGGCTCTTCGGCTTTGAAACGGAGATGAGCACCGCTCCCTAGAGTCGGGAACAAGTAACACATATGTGTGAGGGGAACCTTTAATGTACACTGAAGATGGCATTTAATTTTGCTGTATAAGGTGTAATGATAATAAACTAAACAAATCTAAACTAAAACTAAATTAGAAAACTGATAGCTGGCTGAGACTTTGAGAATAAATGGTCTTCTTTATTTCTTGCAAAGCACATTCATTTTCATTAAGCGATCTCAGTCTCCTATCAGGAAAAATCTCACCAGCGTATTAAGAAATGAAATCTTAACTTGTTAAGGGAGGAAAGCAGTAAAATATAGCATTGTGTGAAAAGGTTAGGTTGATTGACATACGGGGAATTCCTTGACTGAGAAAAGAGTCAGCCTTCTTATCTTGATGCTTCCCAGATATTTTGCTCTGTTGTTCCCAAGATGATGGATCTTTGACCACAAATAAAAAATTCCAAATTTTCTGGGGAAACCTCTAAAAAGGTTGAGTTTCGTAACATCTGCTTCTTTCAACACGCTTTTTAGTCATGCAAAGCTGGAGGAGGAAACTTCCATTGATTCATGCCTGGGAAAAGAATATTTGTTTTAGGATTTTGGGCAGGGGTGGGCTTCAAAAATTCCAGCCTGTGTTTCAGTGACCCTGGGTCATGTGATCCCCTTTTGCAACCCATGGGGAAACCAGATTCATTTAACAACAAGGTCAAGGGGGAAACTAGATTCACTTAACAACTGGGTTACTAATTTAACAACTGCAGGGATTCGCTTAACAAATGCGGTAAGAAAAGTCGTACAATGGGGCAAATTTCTCACTTAGCAACATACACGTTGGGTTCAATTGTGATCTTAAGTTGAGGACTACCTGTTATAAAAATGGTAACCATGAATTGCTTGTCCTCTTTTTCAGGTTGTAGAGAGGATGAGTTTTGTCTACTGGCCGATATCCCAAATAACACAGACACAGCATTCTTTCCTTGTACCCTCTACCCAGCAGCCCAAGTCTGTAACACTTCCATTAACAATGTCCCCAACAACTGCAAGATTGTGTTACCTCAAAAGCCCCAACTTTTATATCGGAAGACAGGTGAGCCTAATTGACTTGCTAACTCATTCCCTACAAGCCAATAATATTTATTTATAGGGGCGAAATGTCCGGATCAAACGTAATTTCTAATGTTGGATTTTTCCCCTTACCAGAGGGAGCCCCCTTGTGGAGAACTATGAAGCCATTACCATGGCAACTCCACTGCATTGCACAGTAGAAGCCATTTTAAGGCACAAAAGGCTGTATCTTAACAGAACACACACCCTGAGGGGTTTTAGGGCTGTCTTACCCCCCACAGTATTTGTTTCTAGANTGAACCAGTTGTTAAATTACATCCCACACACAAACCCCCCACTATCAAAGGGAATTCTGGGTGTTGCACTGAAATGGAGAAATGGGCAACGGAGCAGCTGGCATGAGGGAAGAAGGCCGCTTTCCCTCTTTCCTCCTTCCCTCACGCCAGCTGCTTCATTGCCCATTTCTCCATTACAGCGCAGCGCCCAGGATCCACTTTGATAGCAGGGGGTGGTAATAATTTCCCGGGCTACACTAACCCCGCTGTCAGAGGTGGGTTCCTACTGGTTCAGACTGGTTCAGCCGAAAAGGTAGTAACTCGTCCGAACACATGACTGGACCGGTTCTATCCTGAGTGCCGCCATCTTTATTTTCTGTTCTCCACATGCGCAGAACAATCTTCATTGAAAAAATATGTAATTTTTCTCCCCTTATTAAATGGTGTGCACATGCGCAGGCTTTTTAAAGTGCAAATGCACGCGCACACAAGAATTTTCTGGCACCGAACCGGTAGTCATGCCAGCAGGAACGCACCCCTGCTGGCAGTCTCCCCTCCATAGAGCCCAGCTTCAATTGTGCTGCCAACTTAATTCCTCACCCCTCTCACTTTTTGCCCACAGACTGATCAAACCTTTAAATTTACCGGATTTTTGCTTGTTTGCCTCTAGATTCTGACATGATGACTCGCACTGGATCTTCTATGTGTGATGCTACTCTTGTTCCACCACAGTCTAAGTCTCTTCTATCAGGTAGGTATGGGCCGGGCATCTGAATTTGTAGAAGTAGACTCTTTGCAATAAAAGAACTGCTCTTCTCAATCTGTTCTTCTCTGAATGTGTTCAGATTAGAAGGTTTATCCTATCCAAGGGCAGCCTGAACCTGGGATGTGGGGATTTGTAGATGCAATCCACCTGGAGGATGCCAGATAGAAGGAAGCCAATAGTGGGCAAGTGTCTCGCTTGGTTTTCTTCTCGGTTCCTCTGATGCGTTTTAACTTTGTCCTTTAAGAGAAAATGTTAAAATGTAACCTTCAAACATTGGGCTGTCCTCCATAAAGGAACCGTGTCATATTCCAAGTTCATAGTAAATCATAAATCCATCATAAAATGTTTATGATGACTATAATCATGATTTACCACTTATACCTATTATGTACATTGAGAGTCCAGTCAGACTTGGCCAATAAGGAATTCAATACAATTCTATTATATTCTACTCAACTCTACTCAACTCTACTCAACTCTACTCTACTCAACTCTACTCTACTCTACTCTATTCTACTCTATTCTTTCTTCCACTCTACTCTACTCTATTCTACTCTATTCTATTCTTTACTCTACTCTACTCTACTCTACTCTACTCTACTCTACTCTACTCTACTCTACTCTACTCTA